CCACAATCATCCTACATGAAATCATAGAGGTTCAATACACTTCCTGTAATTCATCAGAATTACATAATCTATCCAAACAACTTTCCCTCATGTCATGATGGCTATTTCCTTTAGGAAATCTAGATATATTCTACATATTCTACTAGCCTTACCCACTAAAATACCCACCAACATAATTTAAAAATTCTTTTTTTTTTTTGTCGGTTGTGGGACCCTAACTCTGGACCTGGGCACTGTCCCTCAGCTCTTCAACTCAACGCTAGAGCTCTACCACTTTAGCCACAGCACCACTTCCGGCTTTTTATGCTTATGTGGTGCTGAGGAATTGAACCCAGGGCCTTATATGCACCCTACCACTAAGCCAACTTCCCAGCCCCCCCCCCACCCTTTTTTGTCGGTTGCAGGGCTTTAACTCTGGGCCTGGGTGCTGTCCCTCAGCAGCTCAGCTCAAGGCCAGTGCTCTACCACTTGAGCCACCTTCCCAGCCCTAAAAACTCATTCTTAAATTAAGAATATTTTGCCAGGCATTGGTGGCTCACACGTTAATTCTTGCTACTCAGGAGGCTGAGATATAAGGATCATGGTTCAAAGCCAGCCCAAGCAGGGAAGTCTGTGTGACTCATCTCCAATTTACCAACACAAAACCAGAATGGTTCTGTGGCTCAAAGTGGTAGAGCACTAGCTTTGAGCAAAAAGAGCTCAGGGACAGTGCCCAAGCTCTGAGTTCAAGCCACACAACCAACAATCAAAAAAAAAATTGAGAATATTTTTCCTCTTATTTTTTTTTTTTGGTCCGTCGTGGGGCCTGAACTCTGGGCCTGGGCGCTGTCCCTCAGCTCTTCAGCTCAAGGCTAGCGCTCTACCACTTGAGCCACAGCGCCACTTCTGGCTTTTTTCTTTTTTTGCTTATGTGGTGCTGCTTATGTGGTGCTGAGGAATCGAACCCAGGGCCTCAGGCATGCAAGGCAAGTGCTCTACCACTGAGCCACCTTCCCAGCCCCTCCTATTTTTTGTATTGCTTTACTAAATATATTAAGTATACAAAGGATAGAAATTGTTATATACTATAATTGTCAGTAGCACATTACTCCACCAAAGTATATAGAAGTTTCTAAACTACTATTTGACCCACTTATTGGACAAGGTGATATTCACCATCTACTCAATAAGGCACTGGACAGTGTTCACCAGGACCTGAACTCTGAAAGCTGGTAGAAAAATTAAGGGACCCTCATATGCAGGATATGAGTAGACTATATTTGTAATCTTAGCTACTCAAGAGGTTGAGATCTGAGGATCAGGGTTCAAAAGCTAGCCTAGGTAAGAAAATCCATGAGATACTCATCTCCAATTAACCACCAAAAAGCCAGAAGTGGAGCTGTGACTCAAGTGGTAGAACATTAGCCTTAAGCACAAAAGCTCAGGAATAAAACCTAGGCTGAGTTCAAGCCCCAGGATAGACACAAACAGATACACACACAAAAGGAATTCTAGGAGGAAGAGGGAGATTGGTAAAAGGGTGATTATGATTGATATTCTATACACACTAAATAAAATAGAACACACTTGGGCTGGGAAGGTGGCTCAGTGGTAAAGCTCTTGCCTTGCATGCCTGAGGCCTTGGGTTCCATTCCTCAGCACAAGCAAAAAGAAAAAAGCCAAAGCCGGGCGCTGGTGGCTCACGCCTGTAATCCTAGCTACTCAGGAGGCTGAGATCTGATGATCGAGGTTCAAAGCCAGCCCGGGCAGGAAAGACTGTGAGACTCCTATCTCCAATAAACCACCAGAAAACCGGAAGTGGCGCTGTAGCTCAAGTGGTAGAGCGCTCGCCTTGAGCTGAAGAGCTGAAGGATAGCGCCCAGGCCCAGAGTTCAAGCCCCATGACTGACCAAAAAAAAAGAAAAAAGCCAGAAGTGGGACTGTGGCTCAAGTGGTAGAGCACTAGCCTTGAGCTGAAGAGCTGAGGAACAGCACCCAGGCCGAGTTCAGGCCCCACAACCGGACGCCCCCCCCCCAAAAAAAAGAACACACTTGTATAACTGTTGTCGATTTAAAAAAAAAAACAAAAAACATTCAGTATGTGTGATTTATGATCCCTATCTCTAATTCCCTTTCTCAGAGAGCAACCAGGTAAAAGGCTTATAAGCCCTAGATCAATTCTAGGCTTACATGAGAGGTAGTGCAGTATAAAGTATGACTTGAATCTCTACACTAAACTCACTTTCTCTGTAAACTTAAGCAATTAACCAAATCTTTTTCCTCACCTAAAAATGAAATACTAAAATTAAACCTACCTTTGAGCCTAGGCTTAGGCTTATACAAGAGGCCCTAGACTGAAGCCCCAGAAACACAAAAATAAACTAAACTAAACTTACTTCAAACTTTAGAGGGTGATGTTTTTTGGTTGAAGGTGGTTATGATCCCACTGGTATATACATACTGAGGAACCCATCTAGTTGTCTATATTAAATATGTACAGCTTTTTTTGTTTCTCATACCCAATAAAGTGATATCTTAATAAAGTGTATGCATTTTTTTTCTAAAATATTAAACTGCCTCACTGGATGACAATTCATGTGGAAGTATTTTGCATTGTTCCTGGCCATATGATGAATGCAAAGGGGCACAGACACTGCCACCAAGAGGCATGCCTCCCTTACTGAAAAAAAAAGGAGCAAACTCACCATCTAGTAATTTAGGCCCTATCTTGAAGATAATTCAAAACAACACTGGAACAAATGTAAAACTAGGCAGCGTACCATATATATATATAAGCTTTCAAAGCTGAAATAATTCCAGCAAAGTAGTTCCTTAACCATAAGTATTAGACAGACTTAAGAGTTTTCATCAAATCCATAAACCTAGGCTCTGCCCCAATTAAATTACAATCTCCAGATGTACTCTCCAAAACATATATTTACACATATAGTATAAAATACAAATTAGTGTTGATACATTTTATATTTATTATTTTATATAGTTTATTAATTTGTTGAAAAGTTCCCAATTAGAACTGATATAACTAAAGAACCAATGTTAAAAATGATAGTATTATTGATGCTTTAATAAATAAAAAAAAATTACCCAGCCAGGCGCCAGTGGCTCATGCCTATAATCCTAGTTACTCAGGAGGCTGAAATCTGAGGATCACAGTTCAAAGCCAGCCTAGAAAGGCAAGTCGGTGAGACTCTTATCTCCAATTAAACACCAGAAAAAAAACTGAAATGGCACTGTAGCTCAAGTGGTAGAGTGCTCACATTGAGCTGAAGAGCTGAAGGACAGCACCCAGGCCCAGAGGTCAAGCCCGGTGACTAGCAGACAGACAAATAAATAAATAAATACCCAACTACTTTGCTGTGTGTGTGCTATACTTGGGCTTGTACTTTGGGTTTAAAATTCTCACTTGTTTTTTCTATCAAGGTTGGCAATCTACCACTTGAGCCAACTCATCTTCTGGCTTTTTGCTGTTGTTGGTAAGGTCTCATGGATTTTCCTGCCTGGTCTAGTTTCAAATCACATTTCTCAGCTCTCAGCCTCCCAAGTAGCTAGGCATGAAAACACCAGTGCCTGATTCCAATTACTTACTTGAATATCACTAAAACATCACTAAAAGTATTTTGATGGATTCACTAATGGGTAAACCAAGCAACCAAAATAAATTTTGATAAACTAATAAGACAACTACTATAAGCAGATCAAAATATTTCCAGATTTTTCTTATTCAGATATACATTTTTACAGATGTAAATCAAAACCACAATATTGGGACTAGGAATGTGTCTTGGTGGTAGAGTGCTTGCCTAGCATACATGAAGCCCTGGGTTCCATTCCTCAGTACCACATAAACAGAAAAAGCCAGAAGTGGCGCTGTGGCTTAAGTGGTAGAATGCTAGCCTTGCGCAAAAGAAGCTCAAGGACAGTGCCCAGGCCCTGAGTTTAAGCCCTACAACTGGCAAAAAAAAAAAACAAAACCTCAAATCATAATATCACCTCTCCCAGGAGAGTCCATCCTACTTAAATAACTGTCAGTTTAAAGAGAACTAAATCTCATGCCAGAGAACTATAATGCATGTCTCATCAGCTTTACAATTCTAAATCTACAAAGGCTTTAATATTTTCACCTTGAAGACACAAGACTTTAATATCCTTCCAATGCAGAACTCTCAACTTTGGGAGAAATGAACTGGGTAATTGTAAAAGGGAAGGCATATGGGCTATCCAGTACCTTTTAAGATATTTAACAGCACTCTGGCTCTCTCCACTAGATGCCAGTAGAATTCCACCTCACTGCAGTTGAAGTAACTAGAATGTCCTTATTTCACTAAATGTCCAGAGTGCGTGGTGGGCCTGAGGGGCACCATCACCCCCTTTGGAGACCCACTGTTCTCATCAATGTTTTTCCTGGCTGTCTTCAATTTCCTGTTTTCAGAGCTAGTGAGCTATCTATCTGTTTCTTCACAGGGGACAGTAAGACAGATTCAAAACAAAAGTACTGTGTTTATATTGCAAAGAGAGGCAGCAACATTAAGTAACACAGGCTTTGCCATCAGCAACACATTGGCAGAAATGTACTGAATTCCCATTCAAGCACTTACCAGCAATGTTGTCTTAAGCAAGCATTTAACTTTCTCCAAATCTGTTTCCTCGTCAGCAAAATGGGAATAATAATTTCTAATTGGCAGAGTTGCCGTATGAGATGATTTCAGTAAACAGTTACTCTTCTTGACAAATGGGACTGCAGAGAATCATAGTTATTAAGTTACTACTCTAAAGCACTGGAGGCTCCTGTATGCTCTTGGTAATGATTTGTTGGTGCTCCAGAATTGATAGTTTGTTAGACCAGGGGACAATGCTAAGAATAACTGGCTGTTTTACATTATACTTGACTGTTTTATTTTCTCTGTTGTAAAACTCTACAGAATTTAAAAAAAAAAAAAAATGAAGGCATTCATGAAAACAGCATATAAAATATTTATAATACAAAACAAAAACTACCATAATGGCATTGACAGTTTATTTTGAAGGCCATTTAAAAACAAAGTTATAGATGATCTAAGAAAAATTGCACAGAACACACTCATTAAATAAGTATGGTGATTAAATCAAAATAAGGGAAACAGGTTCTCTTCTGCCAATCTGGAAATAAGTTCTGTTGTCCTGAAGGTTCTTCCAAATGGGGGGAAAAATCATGGCAATTAAAGCTGCCTCTTAATCATGTAAATCTACAGTAGCAACCAAATTTTTCTTTTCTTCCCAATAAGTCAGTTTCGGTCTTCAAACTGTGCCTTGTTTTTTAGAAGATAAGATGCTAGAAATTCAATGGGATTTGGTGGTCTGTAAAGGAAAAGAAATCCCAAGTTTAGAAATACGTTTTTTAGGCATGTTAAATGAATTGTCATTAAAAAACACACTTTAAGCCGGGTGTTGGTGGCTCACACCTGTATCCTAGCTACTCAAGAGGCTGAGATCTGAAAATTGCGGTTCAAAAGCAGCCCTGGCAGGAAAGGCCATGAGACTCTTTTTTTTTTTTTTTTTTGGGGGGGGGGGGTCCAGTCGTGGGGCCTGAACTCTGGGCCCTGTCCCTCAGCTCTTCAGCTCAAGGCTAGCACTCTACCACTTGAGCCACAGCGCCACTTCTGGCTTTTTTCTTTTTGCTTATGTGGTGCTGAGGAATCGAACCCAGGGCCTCAAGCATGCAAGGCAAGCGTTCTACCACTGAGCCACCTTCCCAGTCCGGCCATGAGACTCTTATCTCCAATAAGCTACCAGAAAACCGGAAGTGGCGCTGTGGCTAAAGTGGTAGAGCGCTCGCCTTGAGCTCAAGAATGCAGGGACAGCACCCAGGCCCAGAGTTCAAGCCCCATGACTGACCAAAAAAAATTTTTTTTTAAATTATCATTTTATTACCATTTGAAGTAAATATGGTAAATGAGTTAGTCAAATAAATTAGCCAAGTATAAAGTTCAAAAGTAATTTGCTGGGTGCTGGTTGCTCACACCTGTAATCCTAGTTGCTCAGGAATCTGAGTTCTAAGGATCGCAGCTCCAAGTCAGCACAGGGAGAAATGTCCAAGAAACTCTTCTTTTTTTTTTTTTGGTCCGTTGCGGGTCTTGAACTCTGGGCCTGGGTACTGTCCCTTACAAAAAACTCCAAGTGAAGCTGTGCCTCAAGTGGTAGAGTGCTAGTCTTAAGCAAAACGAAACTCAGAGACACTACCCTGGTCCTTAGTTCAAGCCCAGAACCAGCAAAAGTAAAATCAACAAAAGTATTCTGAAATTTTTCATTATTTAAAACTGGATAATAAACTCAATTCTACAATGCATGTATTGCCGGACACAAGTAGCTCACACCTGTAATCCTAGCTACTCAGGAGGCTAAGATCAGAGGATTACAGTTCAAAGCCAGCCCAGTCCCTGAGACTCTTTATCTCCTATTAACCACCAGGAAACTAGAAGTGGCTCTGTGGTTCAAGTGGTAGAGTACTCGCCTTGAGCTGAAGAGCTCAGGGACAGTGCTGAGGCCCAGAGTTCAAGCCCCACAACAACCATCAACAACAAAAAGCTTTATATCCACAAAATATATAAAGACATTATAGTAAAAATCAGCTCTACATGACTAACAGTATTTCGCTTTGAGAAGTCTTTATTTTCTCTGTTATCTACATTTGCAGACACAATTTATTATATTACCTTTCTTTGGCAAGCACAGCAAGTCCCTGAAGTAAGATAGGCACCACTGTCTGATCCAGGTAGGCACGAGTTGGCAAGGATTGGAGGTCCACCTTCTGTTTTGATGACTTTTCTGCATTAATCTTCTCATTCTCTACTATCCTCTAGTAAAAAAATTTTTAATGCATTAGTATTCCAAATAACTAGATTATTTTGAATGCTAAACAAAAACTAATAGAAAAGACAAATCAATTACTAGAAATACTCTAGACTGTAAACTTCCCTGACAAAAGAAATTCATCTCTATTTCATTCAAGCTTTTTTTCTGTGAAGATACCATATCTTATTCTTTTAATGCTATATCTCCAAATTCTACTTTTGTCTACCTTTTTAGGAGTAAATATAACTTTTGTTTGTTTGTTTTGGGGGGGGTGCCAGTAATAGGGTTTGAACTCAGGCCATCCCAGTCTCAATTTTTTTCACTCACGGGCATTCTACCATTTGAGCCATGCCTCCAGTTCTGACTTTTTACAGGTTAGCAATAACAGTCTCTCAAAATTGTCTGATTAGGCTTCAAACTACAGTAACCAGATCTCAACCTCCTAAATAGCTAGGATTATATGAGTGAGCCACAGCAGGCTTTTTGTTTTTTTGTCATTGTGGGTGTTGAACTCAGGGCCTGGAAGCTCTGAGCTTTTTCATTCAAGACTAGCACTCTACTACTTTGAGCCATAGCATTAATTGGAGGTAAGCGTCTCACAGACTTTCCTGCCCAGGCTGACTTCAAACCACAATCCTCAGATCTCAACCTTCTGAGCAGTAGGATTTTTGGCATGTGGCCCTTTTCCTTTTTTGGTACTTGGAATTACACCTAGGGCCTTGAGTATACCCTACCACTGAGTTACATACTCAGTTCTCCTTTTTTTTTTCCCCCTATGAGTGTCTTGTTTTTGTTTGTTCATTTGGGCTTATACTTTCTCTTGGTTTTGGCTTTTGAGACAAGGTCTCACTATGTATCCTAAGCTAGCCTTTAACTGTGATCCTCCAGCTTCCAGCTTCCTTAGCATTGGGATTGCAGATATGAACTACCATGGCTGGTTGACTCACATATACATTACCTTATTACACTGTATTCCAAAATATTGTACATGACATAAATTAGCACAATATCAAAGCATAAATGCTGATTCTGCTTCTTTTACTACAGATCATATCAAGAACAAAGACTCACCTAGCAAGGTGGCTCAGGTCTGTAATCCTAGCTACTCAGGAAGCTGAGAAACAAGGGTCGTGGTTTGAAGCCAGCCCAGGCAGGAAAATCACTGAAACTCATCTCTAACTATCAAAATGCCAGAAGTGAAGCCATGCCTCAAGTGGTAGAGTATTAGCTTTGAGTGAAAAGCTAAGGGAGAGTGCCTAGACCTTAAATTCAAGCCCCAGGACCAATACACAGCATACACATACATACACACTAAATCCAGGTGTGGTGTGCATGACTGCAATCCCAGCACTGAGGCAGGAAGACCATGATTTCTCTGCCAGCTTGGGCTACACTGTAAGATTTCATCTTCTTAAGGAGGGAGATCAGGACTCAACCTAGGTACCTGAAGATTTTGTTCACTGGCTGGCACTCTACCAACTGAGCCACGCCTCCAACCCTCCCTGTGTCGCCCTCCCTCCCCCATCTCATCTTAAGGAGGTTTTAAAAAAAAGTTCACTATGAAAACTGATGAGCGGTAAATCAATATATATTGCTATTCAGCGGCACAGAGTAGTCCAAATGGCAAACTCTGGGCGTTAAGTCAAGGATAGAAATACAACTGAATGGGGCTGGGAAGGTGGCTCAGTGGTAGAGCACTTGCCTTGCATGCCAGAGGCGCTGGGTTCGATTCCTCAGCACCACATAAGCAAAAAGAAAAAAGCCGGAAGTGGCACTGTGGTTCAAGTGGTAGAGCGCTAGCCTTGAGCTGAAGAGCTGAGGGACAGCGCCCAGGCCAAGAGTTCAGACCCCATGACCGGACCCAAAAAAAAAAAAAAAAAAAAGAAATACAACTGAATCTTTGACCAAAGTGGGCGGCCTGGGTTGAAAATACAGCTCTCTACTTCCGGTAGACATCAGACATTCAACTTCTTTGAACCTACAGAGGCTGAAAATTCACAGAAATTGATCGCTAAAAGATAGAAGAACTATTAACATACTGGTGCTCGGAAATACTCCTGCTCTCCCTTGTCCAAACAGCCAACCCTTCCCTTAGAAGCTTGTATTTTCCTACCCAGCTCTGCTTAATTCATGTGTCCTAGAATTTACTCCTTTCCCTACACGTCCATCCTAGTTTGTTTCTTCAGACAAGTAGAGGTACCGCTAGCAATAAAGCCAGGCACCCACAATTTGAGACCAATTTCCTTCAGGCAGCCAAGTTTTGTCTAGAGCAAAATAGCCTAGTAAAATCAGATCCCGAGTTGTGTCTGGCTCTGGGGCCAGGGCTGCGGCACAGGGGACGGGGTGGGTTACCTCCACGTTGTCTGTGAGACCGTACTCGGTGTGAGGGTTTTCCGCCACCTAGGAAACAAAACAGCCGTCACACAGAACCCCCGAGCGCGCTCCGCGCTGCCACCCCGGCGCAGCGCCGGCCCCGCGCCAGGCCCGCCGGGTACCTGCGTCTGCCCCTCCAGCATCTGCTCCGGCTCCATGGCGGACCCCGCGGATCACAGTCACCGGATACCAGTCTTGGAAAACAAGAAGAGCCTGGAGTTACCCGGGAGATTTCAACCCCAGGAAGGAACGCAGCCCCTGGCCCCGCCCCCCGCCCCACCTGGGCGCCCGCACGCCCGGGGTGAGGGGGAGCCGGAGGGGACCGTGCACCACTCGGGGTCCGCCTCGGGTGCAGAAGTTCCGCGGGAGAACACCCTCCCCTCCAGGGCCGTGTACAATGGGGAAAGAGGACAGATGGCGGGCTACGCACCCCGACGCTGTGGGTTCCTAAGAGCTCCCCGGCGCGCAACCAACTCCCGGCGCCAACCTCTCCGGCCGTAAGTGACGGTGTCGCACAACTGACGCGCATGCGCCGGCGTTCCCGGCGGGCCTGGGCTGCGGGAGCGACGCCGGGACCCGACCGCCCGCCAGTGGGCGCCTGGGGCCCCGGTCGTGCTGAGGGAGTGTTGGCCCAGTGACGCCCCGCGGGACCGGAGTGGGTCGTTCGTCTAACTGCGGAGCTCTCGCGGCCCCCACCCCAGCCCTGACCGAGTGACGTGCCAGCTCCGGGCTCACCCGAGCCCCGGGCTCTGTCCCGGAGGAACCTAGTCCTCGCACTGGCTGGGCGGTTCTTTCTAGAACATCTTAGGCCCGGCTCAGCCATCTGCCCGAGAATGTCAGAGTTTTGTTTTTGTAACAAGGGAGGGGAGGAGAGGGCTGGAAGGTGGCTCAGTGGTGGAGAGCTTGCCTGGAGGGCCTGAAGCCCTGGGTTCGAGTCCTCAGCACCACAAAAACAGAAAAAGCCAGAAGTGGCGCTGGGGCTCGAGTGGTGGAGTGCCAGTCTGGAGCAAAAGAACTCAGGGACAGCACCCAGGCCCGAGTTCAAGCCCCAGGACGGGATTAAAAAGAAAAAAATGACCGGCCTCCTTTAAACTGTGTAAGGGGCATAAAAGGATGTAGTACATCAGACTGTCTTTAATCCAGTGCCATTTATGCTAGGATAAATACAAACGTTGTAGTCATGAACTTCATGTTTTTGCCTCAATCGTTACATTTCTTTCTTTTTTTTTTTTTTTTGGTCGGTCGTGGGACTTGAACTCTGGGTCGGAGCACTGTGCCTCAGCTCTTCAGCTCAGAGTGAGTGCTCTACCACTTGAGCCACAGCGCCACTTCTAGTTTTCTGGTGGTTTATTGGAGATAAGAGTCTCAGGGGGCTGGGAAGGTGGCTCAGTGGTAGAGCACTTGTCTTACATGCATGAAGCCCTGGGTTCAATTCCTCAGCACCACATAAGCAGAAAAAGCCGGAAGTGGCGCTGTGGCTCAAGTGGTAGAGTGCTAGCCTTGAGCTGAAGAGCTGAGGGACAGTGCCCAGGCCCAGAGTTCAGGCTGATGACTGAAAAAACAAACAAACAAACAAAAAAAACCCCACTAAGAGTCTCAGGGACTTTCCTACCTAGCTGGCTTTGAATGGCAATCCTCAAGATCTCAGCCTCCTGAGTAGCTAGGATTACAGGTGTGAGCCATCGATGCCTGGCTTCTTTTTTATTTTTTATATATTTATTAATGTGTTGTGTGTGTGTTGGTCCTGTGGCTTGAAATCAGTTTGGCTTTTTCATTCAGGGTGACATTCTTCCATTTGAGCCACACCTACACTTGTGACTGATTAATTTTTCTGGTTAATTGGAGTCGCACAAACTTTCCTGCCCTGGCTGGCTGGCTTCAAATCATAATCTTCAGATCTCAGCCTCCTTAGTATCTAGGATTTGCAGGTATGAGCCACTGGCACCCAACATTAAAACATTCTACTTATGTGCAATGCATATTATCTATACACCATAAATATAGAAATTATAGACCGTAAGTGTATATACTACCATTTTGTTTAGCATGCCGACTGAATACTCTCTCTGATAATCTAGATTGTCACTCTAGAGTTGAATTTTGTATTAACATGCTCTGCTATGCTTTCATAGATAGCGTCATAGCTTCAAAAAGCAAGTTGAGCTGGTCAGGTAGCAATTTATACTTACACCCACTATTTCAAAACCATGAGCTCATTCACTTTTACTGAAGATTGTAGACAATCTCAAACTAGTGTCAGTTTTGGTTTGAGGTTGGTGGTTGGTTAGCTCATTAGTGGGGTTTAAATGTTTGAACCAGATTTTTTTTTGCCAGTCCTGAGACTTGAACTCGGGGTCTGCGCACTGTCCCTCAGCTTCTTTTGCTCAAGGCTAGCACTCTGCCACTTGAGCCACAACACCATCTCTATTTTATTTGTTTGTTTGTTTTTTTGGGTCCGGTCGTGGGGCCTGAAATCTGGGCCTGGGTGCTGTCCCTCAGCTCTTCAGCTCAAGGCTAGCACTCTACCACTTGAGCCACAGCGCCACTTCCGGCTTTTTTCTTTTTGCTTATGTGGTGCTGAGGAATCGAACTCAGGGCCTCTGGCATGCAAGGCATGCGCTCTACCACTGAGCCACCTTCCCAGCCCCACCATCTCTATTTTATTCTGTTTATGTGGTACTGAGAAATCGAACCCAGGGCTTCATGCATGCTAGGCAAGCACTCTACCACTAAGCCACATTCCCAGCCCATTTTTTTTTTTTTAAATCAGATGTGAGATGCTTATGCTGATGGTTCATACTTGTAATCCTTACTACTCAGAAAGCTGAGGATTAAGGTTCAAAGCCAGCCAGGGCAGAAAAGTCCCCCATGAGGCTCTTATCTATAGTTACCCAGTGAAAAGTAGAGGTTTGGCTCAAGTGATAAAGTGACAGCCTCTAGTAAAAAGAGGCGCTGAGTTCAAGCCCCCAGTAACAGCACACACACACCCATAACATACACATCTTGACTAATGTTAACCCTTCCATTCTTTTCCCTCAAAGAAATGTTCATGAATTTTTTTATTTTTATTTATGTATGTATGTATTTATTTTTCAGTCATAGGGCCTGAACTCCGGGTATAGAAGCTGTCCCTCAGCTCTTCAGCCCAAAGCTAGAGCTCTACCACTTGAGCCACAGCACCACTTTCAGCTTATTTTTTTCCTGCTTATGTAGTGCTGAGGAATTGAACCCAGGGCCTCATGAATGCAAGGCAAGCACTCTCCCACTGAGCCACCTTCCCAGCCCCATGAATCTATTTTTGCTCCTTAGCATAGTGGCAGACTACTAATTTTATATTGTTACTCTAATTTTGCTATCCCTCACAACCATGTCTTTTGTTTCAATATTTCAGTTTTTCTTCCTTTTTCAAGGCCAATCATCTCGTAAAGTAGGCTATTTTATTTTACTTTTTTTTTCTTCAGTTAAAAAAATGTCCTAAGCTGAGCAGTTGGCTCATACCTATCATCCTAGCTGCTCAGGAGGCTGAGATTTGAGGATTGCAGTCAAAGCTAGCACAGGTAGGAAAGTCCATTAAACTCTCATCTCCAATTAACCACCAGAAGACCAGAAGTGGAGCTGTGGCTCAAAGTGGCGTAGTGCTAGCCTTGAACAAAGAGCTCAGAGACAGTGCCCAGGCCTGAGTTCAAGCCCCATGTCTGACCAAAACAACAACAACAAAAAATTGTCCTTTAATCCTAAGTACTTAGGAAGCTGAGACCTGGAGGATCATAGTTCAAAGCCAGCCCAGGCAGAAAAGTTGGAAAGACTCCATTTCTAATTAACAAGCAAAATGATAATTAAAGTGGAAGAGTGTCAGTATGAGCAAATAAACTGAGAGAGATTAAGAGATCATGAGTTAGGGCTGGGAAGTTGGCTCAGTGGTAGAGCGCTTGCCTTGCATGCCTGAGGCCCTGGGTTCAATTCCTCAGCACCATATAAGCAAAAAGAAAAAGGCCGGAAGTGGCGCTATGGCTCAAGTGGTAGAGCGCTAGCCTTGAGCTGAAGAGCTGAGGGACAGCGCCCAGGCCCAGAGTTCAGGCCCCACAACCGGACCCCAAAAAAAAAAAAAAAAAAAAAAAGAGATCATGAGTTAAAGCCCTCCTACAGAAAGAAAGAGAGAGAAAAGAGGTCTTTTGTTGTTGTTGATGGTGGTGGTAGGGCTTGAACTCTGTGCCTAGGTGCTGTCCCTAAGCTCTTCAGCTCAAGGCAAGTGCTCTACTACTTGAGCCACAGCATCACTTCTGGTTTTCTGGTGGTTAATTGGAGATAAGAGTCTCATGGACTTTCCTGCAGGGGCTGGCTTTGAACCACAATCCTTAGATCTCAGCCTTCTGAATAAATAGGATCACAGGCATGAGCCACCGGGCCGGCTAGAAGAGGTCCTTAAGAGCTGTCCCTGGTTTCTACTTCAAATAATCTAGTTAACATCTAAAGGTAAGTGTTTAGAAAGTTTCTTAAATAGCAAGTCAAATTGAAATTAAAACAAAAAACCAACTATTTTGTGGTAGGCATTTTGGCAAAGAAGTTAATGGGTTAAAGTGATAAAGTGATTGGATGTCCTGGCTTAGTTACCACACTTTGCTCTTCTTTTTGGTCCTGGTGAAACTGTCCTAGATTCCATTTGCGATTGAGTGTCCTGAAAGTCCTTACCATCTAAAAACTGGGAACCTTCAGGGTTGAATGGCTAGGAAGGTTCAAATCTTCAGTCCAGGCAAAATATCAGTCCAGGAAAATATCAAGGCACAAATTTTCTTTTTCTTTCTTTCTTTCTTTTTTTTTATTTCTTTCCTTCTTTCTTTTTTTTTTTTTTGTTGTTGTTGTTAGTCATGGGGTCTGAACTCTGGGCCTGGGCACTGTCCCTCAGCTCTTCAGCTCAAGGCTAGCACTCTACCACTTGAGCCATAGCGATACTTATGGCTTTTTCTGCTTATGTGGTGCTGAGGAATCAAACCCAGGGCCTCATGCATGCAAGGCAAGCAAGCACTCTACCACTGAGTCACCTTCCCTGCCCCCCACAATTTTTTTTGAGATCAATGTAGGAAGACGTTAATTCACAAAATTGATTTGAAACAGAATTGCAAAGGACAGAGGATGTGAACTGAAAAGATGAAAAGGCTCAAGATCCCTAGCTAAAAGAGTTTGGGCTAGGCACCAGTGATTTATGCCTGTAATCCTAGCTACTAAGGAGGCTGAGATTCAGTATCTGAGTTCAAAGCCAGCCCAGGTAGATAAATCTAATAGTCATATTCAATTAACTAGCAAAAAACTAGAAGTGGAAGTGTGGCCCAAGTGGTAGAACACCAGGTTTGCACAAAAAAGCTAAGGGAGAGCTCAAGGCCCTGAGTTCAATCCCTGGTACCAGCAACAAAAAAGAGAGTTTAGTCCATTTTATACTGCAAGTCAACTGATGGTATCAGAAAACCAATCCTAATCACAGTGAATCTCAACCCCATATCTTTACCATAGGAATAAAAAGAAAAGGCTGTAGAAGAA